GTGTTAACATGTTTCACGCCCTATCTCAACTGAAAATATATTGAAAATATTTTGAGATAGGGCGTTCTTCAACCAAATTCTGAAATAGGGCGTTCTTGAAAAGTTTTCTGAGATAGGGCATTTTAAAACTTTGTGTTTGTCTTTATATTTTATAAATGAATTCAATTAATAAAGTGTCCCAGAAAAGAAAAAAATATGGTGTTTTCAATGGTGTTTTTTTTTTTTTAATATTTAAATATAAAGTGCAGGTTAGTATCGGAATTATGTCACTACAAAATTCGAAACACGAAATTCAGCGTAATAAAATTCTTTTTGCAGTAAACCAAATAAAAAGTTGGACGCGATATTTGAGCAACTATTGGCTTTTTTTAGTTTATTTAATATTTATTATTTTTTTATGAAGGTATGGCTGATTACTTAGCAAACACCATACAAATTAAAATTTGAGGTTTCGTTCAAAAATTATGAAAATTCTGCAAAATTTCACCAAATTTTTTTTAGCATTTTAATCAGCATCTTTAGAAAATATTTTGGTATGCAACTCAAATATGAAGTAACTAATCCTTACCGTTGATTTTTGGAAATTTTCTGTTGACGGCGTTAAGCATTTTTTTCTATATATAGTATGTTACAACAAAAAAATTTGTCAAAGATCAACGGTAAGTTAAAGCTACTTCATATTTCCACTTTTTTATACTAAACTTTAATGGCATACAAAACTACATACCAAAATTTTTTTTTAAAATGCTGATTAAAAATTTGGAAATCTTAATGCAATTTTGCAGGATTTCATAATAAGTCTCAAATGTGGATTTATATGGTGTTTGTTCAGTAATCAGCTATACTTTATTAACAGCAATGCATCGGAAACAGAAACCTTTCCAAGAAAGCAAAACAGTGACGAAGGGTGACGTTCGCCGGCTAAAAGTAGTTGTTGGAACAACCAATTACCGGTTTTATAAACTTGAATTAAGTTTGCAAGAAGTTATTTTTGCGAAAACCAGAATTTCCAGAAGGAAATGGAGACAGAGCAAGTAAGACAAAACAAGTAATTAAAAAATAAACAGCTTAGAACAACTATTACAAAAAAGAAATGACTGAAAAAGTTACACAGATTTTTTGAAGAGAATTGCAAAAAATATTATAATTTACTAAAACAAAATATGCGCCTATTGGTTGCATATACATATGTGCATTACACTGCATCACTCTCCATACAACAAAAAAATCGGTACAGTTTTTCCATTAGAATTCTAATATGTATTATATTTAAAGACTTGCACTAAAATATTTCGGAAAAATATTGAGATTTACGTGAACTGGACCGATTTGAAAATACCTCCGAAAATTGCGTATTTTATGATTAAAAATAGTTTTTTCTCAAAAATCACCTAAGATGACAAAACAGTTTAAGTTTAAAAATTTTTTTATAAAAATATTAAAAAAAAATTTAAACGGAATCAAATTTATGAGATTTTTGATGCTGTGATTTAAATTTTCTCAATGATTGGTTTAAGAAAAGCTTGAATAACTGGGCCAAAACTTTACCGATTTAGACTTATGAGGTCTCATTGGAAAAGTATTTTCTCACTCTTTTTATTTCTTTGCAAATAAACTCATTCAGAGTATGAAGGAGAAAGGTAAAATGAAAGAGTGTAATTCCATGATGAATTAGGATGTGCTGACATTTGAAAAAAAAAAATTGGGACGTGAATGAGTTTTTTGCAGAGAAATAAATAAGGTGGTAAAATACCTATCCACTGATACCTCATAAGTCATAAGTCTAATCTTTGAAAAAATTAAGAAATAGAAACTATTTTTATTCATAAAATTGGAGGTATTTTCAAATCGGTCCAGCTCAGATAAATCTTAGTATTTTTTCCAAAATATTTTGGTGTCAGTCTTCAAATATAATAAGTTTTGTAATCCTGGCGGAAAACCCCAATTTTTTTGGTGATGCTGTCTAATGTACATATCCACACACTGAAAATAAAAGTTTACTTTGGTAATTGTAAAAACACGGTGTAAGAATTTGTATAGGTTTCGCTAAGTATAAGGTTTTGAGATTACTGCAAATTATTCGGGAAGGACCCATAAACCGCGACTAAAAAAAAAAAAAAAACGAATGCATATCATACAGTTAATGCAAACTGCACATTTATCCCGGTTTACGCTGCTCTTCGCTGCTGGAGAGCTTCAACAAGCTAATTCGAAAAAGAATTTAAATGGATATATCTATCAAACTGATTAATTGAATTGGCGTTGTGAATCTTTAGGGGCGACGAGTAACGTAAGCCGCAGAAATAATGCAACTTTATATTAAATATCTTTAAAAAAACGCCTTCACGTTAACTAAACAGAATTTGCAAGATAAGTGAGAGAAACATACAGTTTTTCTGTTTAACTGTTACTTTCGATCTTTGTATTGTAAGAAATATAAGCCTGTAAACATATATTGATGTGCATACTACATATCAAATCAAAAAACAAAAAACAAAAACCTTCCCCCGACAGTCGGGTCTACGTAACCGGAACACCCCAGATTTATATCTGGACAAGGACTGTCACCCAAAAACTCTTTGGGGAACCTGTATGCTGTTACAACAACAACTTCAAAGCAAACACCCGTTTCAAATTTATATAAGAAATGCCTACAGGGCTGTGAAGATGGATTTTTTTTAAATATATGGATTTAGAGTTTTGGTGTAGGGAAGTATATCTGGGGCCTATTTCATAAAACGACAGTGATGATTTTTTAACGACAGGAATTTTCCATGTTGTCAGTGACAATTCGACAGTTTAATGGGTGATTTGTTTGATAAAAATAATTGTCACCACCTCATAAATTCCATTGAAAAAGTGACAAATTGTCATTGTCGGGGTTTAAAATTGTCGTTGACAAAATTGTCGCCAGTCATATGAAATTTATATGTAAATCATATGTAATAATAGCATTTGCATTACCTTAGTTTTAAGAAATATTAAAATTATTGAAAAGTAATGAAATGAGCGCAATTACCATATAAATAAATTTACAAAACCCTCCTGTGAAAGCTTTCCGACGGAGTTAATTGGTTTTGTCGCTATTGTTGCGACAATTTTGTCAGAGTGACAATTGTCAGCACAATTGTCGACAATATTCCATAATATCGCCGTCGTTTTCTAAAAATTTTCACAGTTGCCTACAAGCGCATATGAAACAGAAAAAATGTCGCCTACAATTCTGGCAGTGAAATTTTTTAGGTAAATCGACAATTGTCGCACCAGTCACTTTTATGAATTAGGCCCCTGGTAACCAAATAACAGAATATTAAAAAATAATATATTCTTGGGGTCGTCCGGTGCTGTACAGCAAGGCCAAGGTATACTGCGGTGTCTATAGTGTGTAGCTTTGCTGTACAACCTATTCCGTGCTTTACTTACCACTCTAGCATGCTGTACAGCACGTTGTATCGTGTGTTCTCCTCTATTGACACTATTCTTGTACATACATATACATATATGTATGCAAACTGGCACTTTCAAAATTCAATCAGGGTATTCATCGAAACGCGTGCCTGTAAACCACGTAAATCTCGTAAACTTGTTGCCTCGTAAGTTTAGATGGGAAGTCGTTAACATAAATTTCGTAAATTTGAGTAAACTCGAAATAAAAACATTTAAATCTAACTTCCCATAATTTTTACCGAAAACACTCAGCAATTGTAAAAAAGATGCGAGAATTTAAAAAATTATAATACCTTTTTGATTTCTACTTGATCTAAGTTTTATGTGGTGCGTTTATGTAACACTGTGGGTAAACTCTCAAATTTACGTTTTGCACGTTTACATGAATCCCCTAATTTATTTTAAAAGCGCCAAGAGGCACACGAAACATACATACATATGTATGTATAGATGTACATATATTTCTTATGATGAAAAGTATTTTTTTAATATGAAATTATATTAATTTTCAGTCTTCTGTTCAAAATATAAAAAGCAAACCGTGGACCAATGATATGTTTTTTCAACGTATTCAATTTTCACAAATGCTTTTAATCCTTCATTTAATTATTTTTATAGTAATTATATAATAATTAAGTATATTGCGAGTGTTTTAAATACGCGACACGACACGACGATAACCCGAACAAACGAACGGATGATTTTTAAATCGATCAAATAACGGATCGAAATAATAAATATACATATCTATATATAAAATTTTTTATGACAATATAAGGTATCAATAACCTACTAGAAAATGCACCTAACAAAAAAAGTACAGATAAGCTGTATAATATTTAAATTTAGTGCATATTGCTAAATAGTTTGTGCCTATTTAGGTTTCTTGTAAGAAGCAAATATATTATATAAAATATTAATTACACACACAATTTTTTACATTGAATTTTAATATTTATGATTACTTAGTACCTTTAGATACGATTCAATGCATCGATGGATCCAAGTGTCGTACCTAATATAATATTTTTTATTTAATGTGTGATAATATATGTTAGTATGTATTCATATGAAATTTATGAAATTTATTATGCTCATATTTTGTTTTGCAACGAAATTCTTTACCTTATAAAATTAGTTGATTAGAATGAGATTAATGTTTCTTTTGAAGCAATAACTTAATCAAATAATTGTAGCCTTTCTACTTTTTCTATTATTTTCTTCAATCCGAAACTTTTTCTTTCTTCCTCGTTCCTTTTTTGATTCGAAACGTAATTTATTGTTTTGAAATATTTTTTTGTGTTACGACTGCATGTTTAACAAGTTGCATTAAAGGGATTGCAACTGTCAAATATTTATCTATAGAGGAAAAGGACTTACATATTTCAATCAATCTATTGCTGATGCGTAACAAGGAAACACCGTTTAAATAGTTTTAAAGTTCATAGACCTTGCCTTTAAAACTACAACTCGACGATAGTGATTCCTTTGAATCTAAGTGTTTCGCCGATTGTCTCGTAACTTAAGTCCCTACCCTTTTGCCTTTTTGATTCTTTTTTGTCCCCCGTTCCATGGTGCTTTCTTTCCGTTTCTACCAGAATAGTAGCTTTAAGCTCACACTCATGTTTCAATTACCCCAGTGCGCAGAACTGATGCTTTAAATGTTGTACATAGCAACCAGACGTTCCGAAAGATTTTGTGGGAACTGATCGACGAAGCGACGCCAATTTTCTTCTCCTACCTGTGTTTTGAAGCCATGTAAAATCTAGAAAAAAAAAAACAAATAATTAAAAAAACGCAAGAGTAAAGTGGACTCCACATCACCGAACAACTAAATTTCTTGTGGTGTTATTTCCTTCCATTTAGGTAAAATACTTGTGCAAAATTATCGTGCGAGAAAACGACATTCATAAAACTATGGAAAATCGATAGTCGACTAATAGTCGTTTATCTACTACAAGTCCACACTCGCAACAGAGGTGATAATTTTTTTATATATATAATATTCATTTTAAATATGAACCGAATCGGATCATAAATACGGGGTTTCTAAATATCTCTGCCTCTGCGCCACCTATCGGGTGAAGTTATTCCTTTTCATGTAAATAATATACAATTCAAATATGAACCATATCGAGCCATGAGTTTTCAAATATATCTGCATTCATCTTTCATATTGCATTGTCATCTGATTCTGAGCTAAGTTTAAAGTTTCAAGTCTCTGGCTCATCGGGAGGTTGGTTTATCCTAGAGTACTAGTGCTGAGCATATTGCCGCCCAGGGCAAAAAAGAATGTATGTTAGTTTTTAAACGATGCATTTGTAAAAGTTAAGCTTTGATTTCTAAAACTGTATAACTTCAATAAATTCGTCGCTTGAACAAATGATTGTCGTATGTTACATTTGACGACTTTTGGGAAATCGAGATTGAAGTTTAAAGTCTGTTTTCTTCAAAACGTTACGGTAGATTTCTTTGAAAATTGTATATTTTGTTTCTAGCTTAAGGAAATATGGGAATTAATTATTAAAAAAAAATAAAAAAATACATAAAATCTGCAACATTTATTGCTAATTTCTTTTATTCACAATTTGTCGTATGTTATAGTTGACAACATGGTTGTGCTCAATTTATACACATGCGACAAATTAGCAAAATTTAACACAAATCATATGGAAAAAAAACTTTAATTTCAGTTTTATTTGAACATCAAAATATATTAAAGTAAACATAAGACAAATCATTTTTAAGCATTTAGTTAACAACATTCCTTTAAAAATATATTATAGTAATCGGTTAACGTGGTCCAAAGTTATGCGGTAACAAAGGCCCCTATTATGAGTGTCATTCGATCCTCGACTGTGGTCAAAAGTGCTGATCGAACGCTATTGTGAATTTCACTCGTTTAGGTTGTTCACTAGAGTATATTTTTAACCGCTGAGAAGCTTTGTTTACAAATCGAGCAAACTAAATAGTTTATACATATGTACATATGTAAATTAGTGCAAATTAAAATGAAATAAAAAGGAAAGCGAGTTCTGGTTGAACGATTCGTCAGAGAATGAGAGCTTAGAAAACTGGCCAGGAGCAGAAAACGTTTAAGAGAGTTTAAGTGCAGTCTTTCGAATTTAAACAGCTCTATGATTTTTTCTTTCATAAGTGAAATCAGACTTTCGAGCTTGTATTTAGTATTCACGGCGCATAGTGGGGTTGCTGTGGACAAATCAATTTTGAGAGTTAAATAAAAGTTAATTAAATTTCGCGTCGATCTATCCGTGGCGATTTTGTAAAAAGAAGCTGTTTAAAGAAATAAATTTTCACGTTTTTTTTACAGGATCTTAATAGAAGAAGAATAATTTTAATATTTCAAGGGGCGTGGCACCTCCCATATAAACCAAAGTTTTCACACAACATATCTCTGGGAGTATTCATCGTAGAGTGCTGCAAATTAGTACAGAGATATATAATAACAACGCCAAACTTATGGAAAAAAATGGGAGTTATTGAAAAAGAGGGCGTGAAGTTACGTACAAATTTTAATGTGAGATATTCAGTTTGTATGGGAGGTGCCACGCCCCCTTGAAATATTAAAATTATTTTTCTTCTATTATCATCTGCTGCTCTCGAGTTTTTCGATTAGAAAAAAGCGAAAAAAACCGCTTTCAAAATATATATTAGTATAGATAACGAATGAAATACATTTCTCAATTAAATGTATTATGAAAAAATGTATATGAATATTTTTTTAAAGAACAGACTCTCGAAGGTTACTCCGAGTATTTTGGGGTTATTCACCGTCGTGCATTCGTATCATCGACGTGAATTCCCAGCGGTAGCCTGACCTCCTTCGTCCAGGTCGTGAACAAGGTCGCTGAGGATTTCGTAGGGGAGAGGGTTAGGCTCCTTGCAGTGAAGAAGGGAGAAAGCTCGGAGTGATACCCGTGTGAGTGATACTATCGAACACAAGTCATCAATTCCATTCCCAGTCGCCATGATCGAGCAATCATCGGCGTAAGAGACAATAGAGACTTCCTCTGGTGGTTGAGGGAGCTTTGAAATGTAAAAGTTAAACAGTAGCAGTAAGTTTGCTCGATTTGTCTCTTAAACATTACCAACGATTGACGACCACTCAGATAATTCGCCGACCACCGTTTGAGCCTCTGTGGCAGAGAGGAAGCCTCTATATCTTCTAGTAGCGGGGAGTGGCTGACGGTGTGAAACGCCTTTGACAGATCCAACGCTACTATAATAGTTCTCTCACAGGGACGGATGCGGTTAAGGCCACGTGTTATCTGAGTGTTTATGGCTTTAAGTGCTGTTGTTGTACTGTGCACTTTACGGAAACCATGCTGATGCTTCGCTGGGGTCAGGTGGTTCGTGAAATACGGGAGTAGCAAGGCCTCTAATGTCTTCGCTACCGGGGAAGGGTGTTGTTAGCCGATAAGAGTCACCTTTGTTGGCTGGTTTCCCCGGTTTAAACAGTGGGACCACTCTCCCCACCTTCCAGATGTCTCGGATGATGAGAGGGGCCATTGGCATGTTGAGGACCTCCGTTAGGTACGCTAGTCCCGCAGGACCCAAAGTTTTCAGCAGCAGCATGCATATTCCGTCGGGACCCATGGCTTTGGAGACTTTCGCCTTCCCGATGGCCACCAGAACTTCACCGATAGTGAAAGCAAGGAGGGCACAAGTTGTTGGCATTTTGTGCAGCCTTCTGGTTACTCGACGTTTGGCTTTGTCCGCCGGAAGATGCAGTATGAACTGCCGGCTAAATTAGCTCGCGCATCGCTCCGGATTCGAAGAAGCACGGTCGCCGAAAGAAATTTCGACCCTGTCGTCGTGCTTCGTCGGATTGGACAGTGACCTCACGGTTGACCAAAGCTTACTCACACCAGAAGCGAAGTTACAAGTCTTCAGATGTTCTTCCCACTTTTTCCGCTTATGTACGTTCACAAGCTGCCGAATCTTCGCATTGAGATCCCTGGTACTGGGATTTTCGGGATCGGCCTGACGAAGGTTGTCACGCTCATCGACTAGGACAGCCGCTTCAGCAGGAAAGTTTGGACGAGGGTCCGTAATACATCCTGCCGGTACGAAGCGAGCTGCGGCAGCAGTGACAACCCTGCGGAACTTACGTTCACCAAGGTGGACGTCGGTTGGTGTAGCGAGCGCAGGAAGGTGCTCTCAGTAAATTTCGCGAAGCCTTTCCAATCAGTTTCTTTTTGGAGCGCTAAGCCACCACCATTATCTCGCTCGCGATCTCGACGGTGCACGCTGTATCCGGCACAATTCAACAATTGAATTGCTGTGCAACTTCGTCTAATGGAACGCAGCTATCAATATACCATGCCATCACATAAAGACGGTTATCTCCTCGATCTTGCTCTGGAGTCCGTTACAGTTAAATTGAAGGAACTTCATGTGGTTCGGGAGACGTGTTGTTATGCGGGGTGTGAGAGGCATTGCCGTCATTGGCTGTGTGTTCTGCTGTGGAAGTTGCCGCTCTATGGTTGTAGTGGGTGGCGTCACAATTGGCGTTTGCGACCGAGCGGTGCAACACGGGCCCTCGAAGTTCCTCGTCTAATCCCGCGTGGTGCCTTTCGAATATCGTACATTTTTATCCACTGCTTTATATAAACGCGCAAAAAAGAATCTTTGTTGCCCCTTATCGAGAAACTTGGGTACGGTTTAGTTATTCGTACAATGATTTTGGGTTCTTGTATCCAAACGCATTACCCGAATCTAAAAACTTTAACATACACGTGTAGTCAAAGGATTAAACTTTAATTTAAAACGAAAGTTCCGAGCTCTATTTGTCAATGTTATTGTGGCTTGTTAACATTTTTTTTATTTTTATTAGTTTATTAATAAATTCGGTTTGAACCATGCATTTTTTTTTGTAAACTTTGATGTTGGTTCTGCGCAAAGATACAGTAGTTGGTGTAGTCGGAGTTATATATATGCACAATAAATGTTGTATACCTTTCACAGTGGAAGAGGGGCTTCCGCCCTCTCCTCCCGCAACAAAAAAAATGAGAATTCTCATTAGTAAGGATTGTAATCCCTAAGCGTGGCCGAAGGAAGAAGCAAGCGCGACCGGGTGTTGGACCTAACAAAATGCATATTTTCAATAGCTTGGAAGAAGCTTTTATTGCATTAACCAGTTCTTCAAGCATAGGAGTAGTTCTGGCTTGAGGTTCAACAATTCAACCAGAATCTGACATAGATGTGTCCATGGTTACTGTGCCCCACAGCTCCGCATCTTTGTGAATCTATTGACATAGCGCCCTCTTACTCTGCTGCTATAATTGCAAATGCATCAGAATCCATAATTTTCCTCCTGGGTAAAAGATTGTTGTAAACGCAATTTTGACGATTTTTAGTTCTAGATGCAGTTATATATTTTAAAATAAGGTTTTTCGATTGGTGTTTTTAGTTTTTAGATATCTCCTCTAGTTTCCGAGATATTGACTACAACTTTTTCCATAAATTAGTAAAAATTTAGTTAGTGGTGCAGTCATATATATTAAACTAATCAATATCTTAAAAATGGCGTTGTCCATTTTTGGATATGTTTTTTATTTTCCGAGATATTAAGAAAAAGTGTCGTTAATTTAGTAGAAATTTTGATCACATTTCGGCATATTTCCTACAAAGTGGCTGCCAAATTGTGGACAAATGACGCTTACGACAAAATTTTACTAAATAAAATCCTTCATAAACTCAAAACTAATTAACAATAAACATTAAAAATTAAATAATTTAAGAATTTTGTGAACTAGCAACATTTTCAGAGGCTTTGGAGAAAATCTACCTTCGCGTTTTTGAGAAATTGCATTCCAAACTTCAATCGCGATTTCCCACAGCCTGCCGAAATTAACATACGACAATCTTTTACCCAGGCGACGATATGTAAAATTAATCAATTTTACAATAAACAAGCTAATGATGAGTTTTTTTTATTTCCTTTCCACTTTGTTTTCCTTCATACAGCTGTCTTCGAAAAACAACTGATAGCTGGCAATGCTGCACATTTTTCCGCAAGGGTTGCAACATGTCGATTTTGCATTTTTCGTAACGTAGCTATGAATTACGAATTATGAAAATTCGGATTCTAGAATGAGGGTGTCAATTTGTATGAAAAAATTTCGTATGTGCCAAACGTTTCAATTATACGACAAAATGCGACTAAAACGCTTGTGACTTGGCACATATGATAAAATTATACCAAACATCTCGAAATCCAAAGGAGATATCAAAACACTGATAAAGCCATTTGAAAGATCTCGATGAGTTTAGCGTAACTTATTAACTCAATTTAGTCCAATTTTCGCATACGACAATCATTGCTCAGGCGACGAAATGTTAATTTTACCCTTAGTTTATGTTACATTCAGGCTTTACAAAATACATAATTTAAAATTCTCTTTACTATTAATTGCAAAGCAAAAGCTTTTTAAATATGGCCCCTTCACGGATGGGCGCGACTAAAAATTGATTACCCACAGGCAAAATTTAACAAAAGCTTACAAAAATACAAGAATTTTTCGTTGTGTTAATGCCTATAATAACACTTACCTTCTGAATCATTTGATGCAAATCTTGTGGCGGGTTAACCCACGAAGCCACAGCATCGCAGAAGAATATGAAGTCGGGCACGACGCCACCTGGATTTACGGTAATCATGTGACACATCCCACGGAAAGCCGAATCCTTTTCGTCATTATCCCTTATATGGCGCAGAGATGTACACCTACATCAATGAAAACAGTGAGTATGATTTACTTTAGTTAATATGTCTATGTTACTCGAGTTATGAACAAAACTTCTATCGGCGGAGCCATAATTTAATTATTTTACATAAAATTCAAACGAAAGACACTGTTTTATTTGCAAATTATAAACAGTACGCAAATTAATTTGTTACATTACATGAAAACTTATATGTGTTAATGCAAGATGGGGATTGTTTCATTGACTTAAGAAAAAAATTATTTTTAGTGGAAAGGATAGGAAAATCTTTGTATTGGTGAGGTGAAGTTAGAGGGCTGTTGTAGTTTGAAAATAGTTAACATATAGAAATCATATATAAAGTGTTACACACCACTGTCGTACAAATTCTGGCAAATAAGGAGCCACTTCAACTGGGCACACATAACCTAGACGACCGATTGTTATTGCTAAAAAACAGAAAAAAAACAGAAATAAATGAAAATGAAAAATTATATGCGATTCACAATAATACAAATAAGTTGCATAAATATTTTAATAAATTCAATGGTTAATCAATAATATGAGTATGGAAATTGTTATTCAACTGAAACCATCAATTCTTAATGTATGCAATGAATGCTACCTTACATACATATGTATATACATTTCAGAAGACAACTGCATTTTCCAAGTATTACAACACAATGAACTAAACAATGAAGGAAATTATATCATATGGCACATGTTTTAGGTATTTAATATTATGCAATCAAGTGCAATTGAAATACAGCCAAAAATCAATTCGTTAGACTAAAAAATTATGCAAAGCAATACACTTTGTTAAAGCTTATAGTTCTTTAAATTGATTATATTTAGCAAAAAAAACTAAGGTATCAAACTAAAGTGCATTATATTAGCCGACCCTTTTATATTTCATGTTAACTCTTATACACAATGCAATGGTTGGTTAATCAATTACCTATTGGTTACGCTTATGTAGATGTATTAAAGGAATGGCCAATATAAAGGAGACTTTTTTGAAGTTAACCCAAAAAAAAAAATTTTTCTTTACAAAGAATTTCTCAATCGCCAATTTAAAGTTGTTTAAGTTTTAATCCTCTTCAATTTGGTAAAGTGTACATAGCAATAAGAACTTTGGTTTAATTAATTTTAAAATCCAAGAATATGCGACTATTTGAAGAACTTTTTTTGTGACCTCAACAGATTCAAAAATTGTCATTAGCTCGAGAAAGCTACAAACTAAAAAAGATTAACTGTACATATAAATATACATACATTTAAGATTTAAAATAGTGCAACTATATCGAATTAATTTTTCAAGAACGCAGTGCTTTTTGTTTGTATATGAACATGAAAAAGGCATGCACTCTTAAATAAAATTAGAGCCGATAGTTACAGTTGAATTAAATAAATTACAAAATATATATTCTATTAAACGTGTATATCATGTACACACCTGTATTCTCCAGAAGCGTTTTAGGTGTATTCGGTCTGTTAATAATAACGAACAGTTCATTGAGTACGAGATGTATGTACTGCCGAGTTTCTTCACCTAAAAGTTTGTACAATTATTGAGACACAGTGTCAATAAATATATTTTATAGGTTATTTACCTAGTTTCATGCAAATTTCGCCAATGGCCCATGTAGCATTGTTGCATACGGAAATGTAATCAGGATTAAGGTTTTGGCCCAAAATCGGGAAGAACTCCGACATGAATGGATGTACATGTTGAAAACAGGCTTTAGTCAAGTCTCCTAACAATGCGAATGACGACTGCCGCACCTGGGAACGCGAATAAAATTGTTGTAAAATGTACGTAAGAGTATAATTAAAGAGCACTTACTTCGGGGAGTACATCCTGCATGCATTGATATAGTAACTGCATAATATTACTGTTGGCTACTAATGATTCAATGTGTCCATCCAAACCTTCGGCCAATCCTGACAACAAGTCTAATGCAACAATCATCCGCTCTTTATCGGGATGCTCGAATCCAGGATTAGATTTGCATGCCTTAAAATGTATATTTGTTGAGCATTTCAAATTTGAATGCTGAGCCTTTGTATAAATACTTACCATATCTTGGTTTAGTGTCTGTTCAATTAGTGATATGCATCGCTGGTAAACTGGATCACAATACGGTAGAAATCCAGATTGTAAAGCTGTTGCAATGCTTGATAAGCACTCTAAGAGAGGAAATAAGTCCTTATCGTCGTCCTTTAGTAAGTTCCACTTCTCTATTAGTGGGGGCATTAATATATCAATGTATTGTGGTTTGTTGAGATGGTGGCCCACAGAATCAGCTAATGTTCCAACTGCGTCGTACAGTATAAGCAAGTTTTTATGTTGATACTTGGAAAAGGCGAATACAAGAGTTTTCAGTATATATTCTAAATATGGCACCAACTCAGTGCAGGCCTCCTCTTCCAAAGTAGCGAAGGCAGAGCAAGCTGCCTCTTGTACTCGTTTATTAGAATCCAAAATACGCTTAAGCAATTCCTCCATTAGTGGCTTCAAATATTGATCATGTGGCTGGTTAACCACCCAGTTAGCATAACGCGACAAAGTCCAGCAAGTTATCGAGCGTACTAGTGCCTTCTTGTCCGACAAACAACTTATCAGGTAGGGAATCAGTTCCGGTAGATGTGGAATCATACCCTGCATACAGCCTTCGGCAATAGCACCCAATGCCAAGACTCCACTCTCTTTGATAACCCATTCCTGATGAAACAAAGTGTCCTTGAGGATCGGCAAGACTATAGGTAGACACTCTTCACGGAAGACATTTGCTAAAACGTCCAGTGCTGCTGCACTACATTTGCGGAGATTCCATTCAGATAGGGAACTATCATCATCAAGCACATCATCAAAATCATCATCCTCATCATCCACGCCCGTTTCACCAGACTTGATGGTGTGTGTGCGTGATTTATGAAATCGCGGGCGTATATCCTCCTCGCGATCTGGCACCATATCGTCCTCTTCAACATTGCCTTTAAGCAAGATAATATCTATTTCAGAGTAACGCATTCCGCGCACTAATATAGGAGCCAACTGCACTAAATAGGGCGCCAAAACTTCTTTGCAAATACTTTGTTCAGCGAGAGATAGCCAGAATTCAGAGGCTTCCAAAGCAACTCCTTCATCCGGATCTTGAGTACGTATTAACATATACTATACAATAAAAATAAATCAATAAGTTTGTACAGTAATATTTGACATGACAGCAAAAAATGTGAAAGAAAATTGTATAACAAGTAATTTATTTATTATCTTACCTCAATAATTTGTGACATATGCGGTAATAAACGATCCATACGAACTTCCAACAACATTACCAACCCATGGCAAACATTCTTTCTGACCTCATGATCATCGTCGGACGACAAGTTAAATAAACTTTCGATAAATGTGTCAATATGAAGCATCAACGCCTGCGATCGATTTACAATAAATTGATTGATGCAAGCTATAGCATGAGAACGTATTTTTGGGCTATTGTGGCTAAAGTATTGCAAAAATTTGGGAATCATCACGTTAAGTGGCCGATTGAGTACTCCAGAATCAAGAATCTCAGCTGAATCTTCACATATCTTTTGTAAAGCACTGAACGCTCCCTCACAGACATTATAGTCCTGCGAATCCAGCATATCGCACAGTGAAGGGAGTAATTGCGGCCAATTTTGCAAACCACCGTTACTAGCAATAGTCGTTATAAGTATACCAACAGTGGCTCTGATCAATGGCGAAGGATCTCCAATTGCTTGCAAACATTCGTGTTTGATATATTCAATAATCTCCGGCTGTAGATTGTTTCCATGAATTCGTATGTTATTTTTCAAAATTAGACCGCTGAGAGAGCGTGTTGGTTCATCTTCTGTTTTTAGTTTCGTCAGTACATAAATGAGATAATTATTGAAATCGGGATATTGATTCAGTTCCTCCAGTTTCTGTAAACGGAGGGCAATTTGATGAGATTTACTTGCATATAAATATTGATTTTTTTTTCAGATTTGGTCAATTGTTGACGACTTAGGTTTAGTTGAACTTTATAAGCACTTATTTAAGTTCATCTAATTTTTCTGAGTAAATACTTATTATCATTAGCCTTTACCACTTACCAGTTGAACAGCCATTTGCGTTGCTGTATCCGGTGACTGAGACTGCTTGAGGATTGTAATTATTTGCTGTAAACCTTCGGCTTGCGGTTCCCACGTCATCTTGTCTTGATTTTATTTTATAATCGGGGGTGTATTACCTGCAAATATTTCACGTTTAGGTTTAGATGTGAGCAAAAATTGAAGGTCTACAAAAGGGTGCGCGCTATGTCATGCGCGCATAAAGTGCAGAGCTGGGTGCCACTTCTTGCATGTACGATTTAACAAAAAAAAAGTTATGTACATAAAAGTGATGTCTATACTCTTACTAACGTGTTAACTAGTGTTTTCAACGATTTAATGCTAATATAAAATAATTTCATTTCTAGATGGCATTCTAAATGCCATCCACCGATTTTCCAGATTTTCACACGCTGTTTTGGATGACTAGCAAAAGATCGGCCATTTAATTAATCCGAGCAAACTTACCTTGGATAAGCGCACTAAAAATTGATTACACTTGTCTTTAATTTGATCACTTTTAATCTGTATATGATTATTTATCGCAATTAAAATGTTCTTTCACTACCTTCTCCTTTTTTCTTCTTGTCTAGTATAATTTTTTCATGGAACAAAAAAATTAAAATGAAGTTTCGACTTTCGATGCCTGGTTCGTGATCTCTTTCTAACACCTTCCTGCACAAACGGGTGTGGGAATGAGTCGGCGTGAGGGTGTGCAAATGTACTAGAGCTGCCAACATTCCCGTTACAGGTATTGACAACTAGCTCTAATCCAATACTCCACGAACTTAGACTGTGTTTATAAACGGAAACTTTTGTCGACGCGATTTTTCACAATCCCTTTTGGTGTGCGCGTTTCATTTACACACGGCGATTTTTGTGTATGCAATTGTTGTTGTCCGCTGTGAACCGCTAACTCAATTTACACAGACGAACGAGAGCACAAAGCTTGTTGCCTGAGGACGAGCAGCTCGGTGCCGCTCTCCTTTCCTCGTCACGCTTGCTCCTACAAACGTCGAGTTGCGGCAACAAAAATCGCGGTGTATAAATGAGCTCTTACAGGTTTTAACACGAACTTGCAGTAACCCAATAAACACTAAAAAAATATTTCTCCAACCTTGGAGAAATTCATAGTTCTCAAGTTGATATCTAACATCATTCTCCAACTCATCTCTAACAAACGCCCAGATAGAGAAACTAATTTTATTAATCATCAAGTGATTAATTATTATCAAGTGAAAAACTAAAGCCATATAAAGAGGAAAATTACCAACAAAAAGTAAATAATCTTCAAAATATCCTGAAATAATCTTGAAAGAAAATAAAACGCCAAGTGAATCAAGTGGCAAAATTACTGTCGGACTGTGTACTGTGAAGTGAATTATTGTAATACGATTTTGCTTAACTACATAATACAAAAGAAGTAATAAAATGAAAAATTAATATTCAAATTCATCTTTGTATGTCGTTTCAATCAAAGAGGTATAAGGTATTTTACTATTTCAATGATATATTTGAGACCAATTGGAGAATTACATTGGACTTCAAGTTGAGAACTAGCATTTGTTGAGAACGCTATGATCCTCCACTTGAGGTACTGTTGAGAAACAACGTCAGAGATTTGAGAAATACCTTAGTTCTCAGCTTAACCTCAAGTTGAGCTAAAACTAAATGTTTATTGGGAAGTTACAGAAAAAATGATCCCGTACTCCAAATTCCGGGTTGGGTTCAGAAAAGTATCTGTTTGTTCGAGGCTGGTACAAAAAAATTAAGCCGGATTGGCACCACCAACCTTTATAGCTTGAAAGACCAAATTCCAAGGAGTTCAATGGTATGCTTTTCTTTCTCCTCCGACTACGGGGCTTCTCGGGCGAGCCTATTCAAAATCGGGAAAAAATCGTTGCTTTTGCTCACAAAATGCCACAACTGTTCAAAACACACCAAATAAATAGTGCTTATTTGCTCGGATTTAGTTACTCATTAAACGTAGATGCAATATAGCACTTTGACACAAGATCAAGCGCTAATGAAAGAAAGAAAAAAGTGATTTTCTAGCTGTCGAAATCTCGCCGCCATCTTTTTTGTAAGAAGTCAACAACGAAGAAAACCGCGTAATTGTTGAACGCATGAATAATCATTTATATTAATCAAATTCTTCTATAAACCATGTCGTTGTGTTAAATTATTCTTTACCTTATGTGTTCACGCGTTGTCACAAGCGAATATGAAGAAATTTCCAGTAAAAATCCACCACCAAACGAACAAACGTAAACAAACGGCTAATGTCAAAATCGCCCAACTTTATTCCCAAATGCGATTATAACGGGCTACCGGTTTGCTGGCGTGATCTTGTATTTTAGGTTCATGTCGTAGTAATTGCTACTCCACCAAAGGGCCCTGTCGGTGGGGTGCAATAACACCATACGCAATAAGGCCATAATGGCTTTATTTCGCTTTGCGATTGGCGCGAGTGCAGTGCAGCGAGACGCGGGGGTCATGAGCGCAGCGCGACCGGGCGCGGTGCGCGGAGCCAGCAAATGTGCACCCGCAAGGTTATGCACTCGCAAAATTAAAACTTACCTAAGAACAATATCCAATAAATCCGGAATTATTAAATAATTATTTATTTCATTTTATTAGTAATAATTTGTATCAATTTAAATAATTCAGTATTAATTTCAAATATTTTTCACTTTTGCCTCAATTTAATTCAGTATCAACAACTGGTGAGAGCCTTTACACACACATTTGGTACGTTAGGTAGGTAGGTAGAAGTGGCTGCCACCCTAGAGGCACACTTAGGCCATAGATAGAAGGCCCATTGTATTACCACAGTTGACACCGTTCAATTATCCTCCCCATTGAACCACTTCGTGTCGCTGATGAATCTCATCAGGCACCTCGCATCGGTATTTGAAACCTTCCTAAGGTCGGTCAGGAATGGTGAACCCAGATGACGCAGACTGCTTCTGCAACATCTACGAAAAGGCACCCCTTTCTGCATGGCACGCCTTTCTGCATGCCATCATGCATCAAGCAGGGCCCGGTTAGGGCCCCAACGTCGTTAGATATGTCCTCCCTTCTAAGAGAGTAAACGCCTCCGGTCCCATTTAGGCCAAGTCTGCCTGGAAATTCGACAAGTCGTACTTTGACTCCATCTTTCTTCAGCTTGTTTATAAACTAATTCACTAATTAGCAGTTTGCAAGTGGCAAAAGGCATACCAATGCGTTCTTTACTAGGAAGAATCTCCCCGGTCGTGCCTTGCCTTGCAAGTTCATCTGCCATGCAGTTTCCCTCTATGTCCCTATGAACAGGGACCCAAGTGAGGTGAAGTCTGTTCTGCTTGGCTATCTCCTGTAGAGATAGGCGGCAGTGCAGCGCAATCTTTGAGTGAAACGTGAAGGAGCTCAGAGCTTTGATTGCAGCCTGGCTATCACTTAATGAAGATGTGCCTTCCCATCATTTCGGTTCCAAGCTTCTCAACAGCATATCAAATTCAAAAATTTTGTACGCCCAAGTATGATAGACATTTTATTTTATTATATAAATATATGTATATTGTTTATAAATGAATTATATTTTTTTAAATCATATGATATCGATTCTTTCTTAAACATCGAACATTCCTACTTTCAACTTCTCATTCAACTTCGCATTCCACTTTTGTTGCCTGTAAAATCGCCTCGTGCGAATGCCCTAATAGTGAAAAAGTTGCCATCCTAGGGCTTTCGCTCGAGGCGATTTTTCAGGCAAATTCTAGTTGAAAGAAAAAATCGCTTCTTCCGAACGGCTTTTCAAATAATCGCTTTCAACAAAGTTGGTCGCCAGCCAACTTTGAGCTCGTTCAACTTTATTTTCCTTGCAACCCTGTGTTTGTTTACATTCTGTATACATACTTTTTTTCTTTTTTACTTTTATTTTATCTTTCAGCTTCGCTAAAAGCACTTGTACCAATGCTTGGCTTACAAAATTTACGCCAATTGATACAATTTTGCGATTTAAATTCATTTTCAATAATGTAAATAAAATTTCGTGTTGAATCGAAAATCGCCTCGTCTGAATAGGGATGGCTACTTTTTCACTTTCAACTTCTCATTCAACTTCGCGTTCAACTTTTGTTGCCTGTAAAATCGCCTCGTGCGAATGCCCTATCCCTATTCAGACTAGGCGATTTTCGATTCAACACGAATTGTTATTTACATTATTGAAAATGAATTTAAATTGCAAAATTTTATCAATTGGCGTAAATTTGGTAAGCCAAGCGTTGGTAGAAGTGCTTTTAGCGAAGCTGAAAGATAAAATAAGGGCCTGTGCCAATTGATAGAAAAGTTCTATGGTGGAAAAACTTTTTACTATGGTGAGAAAATTTTACATTTCTGCTGTGCCAATTCGTAACTTTTTACTGCTGGAAATTTTTGACAGTTGCTTTGATGCACAAGAAGACTATCGAGTTTGCTATTTATAAAATGCAGCAATTATATAGAAAATATTTGCCTTTGATGATTTCAATTCTTCTGGAACTAAAATCCATGCATTTGTTAGACCTTTTAGCAGTAATATTAGAAATAAAAACACGTCAAAACTGTCTGGTAAGTGTGTTCACAAAAATGTTTAAAACCGTGTACAATTGTTTCCAATAAAAACATATGTCGTTTTAGGGTATTATGTAAATGCAACAAGACGTTTATTCCAAAATACTAAGCAGCATTATGAACGGCGATAACAAGACTACAAAAATGTATCTTAGGTTGTTCTCTGCTTCGTTTCGAAAAATTGTAACTCACATTCCCAAAAAGCGCCACGGATGGTCAGTGGAGTACGAAGTCATTTGCTTAATAAAGTCTTCAAATTATTTATATTGTTCTTAAGCTCGTCGGCGATTTAAAGCATCCGTTGTTGGTTACCCGAGCAACCGAGGCAATCGGAGATCGTCGTGTCACACGTACTTGTTGTCGGCTCGTGTTGATGGAAAATCAAAAATTTTTGATTTTCCATCAACGCGACCGCTTGACAAGCGGTCTGTTTGATAGTGGCGCAAAGCGTTGTCAAGCATTAGTGTGTTAGTTTGTTGTGATATGTAAAATGAGCAAGTTCGCGGAAGATAAAGATTTTACGTTTGCGTTTGCGGTTGATGTTTTGTATATAAACTTTTCATCCACAACTTTTTCTTTTTAGTCTTTCTTTTTTTTTTTCTTTTTTTCTAATAAAACTACTGCAGTGGCAAGTAGCAAAAAATCGTCATCCGATGAAGACATGTTTACGTCCGCCCACTACGAAATTTTATTGCAAATGGTGTTGACGCTTTATGCTTGAGTGTCGCCGGGCAAGCTTCAAGCACCCGACATTCAACCCGACACTCACACATGTACTCGTTGCCAACAACGGATGCTTGAAATCGCCGACGAGCTTTACTCACTTCCAGCCTTCGTTGCTGTTGGCGTTCTTTGAACTGAACCAAACATCCTTGTCAATGCGCTTTTCCAGAAGGATTCTGCGTTCTGAACTGCTCCCTGTAAAATAGTATTTTTAATTAAAAAATACATAACGCCTTTTCATATGTAAATCTGAAATTAAATCTTACAAGTTATATAGCTTTTCTTTATTTTTTTTGCCGGCGGGACCATGTTCTTTTATTTCCACTAGCTTTTGCTTTCTTTAATTTATGTGTTTACGTGCGTTGTTCGTTCTTCTTCTTGATAATGCCCTCAGGCCCTGAAAGCGAAAAAGAAAAAAGTATGTATACAGAATGTAAAAAAAAACAGGGTTGCAAGGAAAAAAAGTTGACTGGCGACCAATTTTGTTGAAAGCGATTAGTTTAAAGGCCGTTCGGTCGAGGCGATTTTTGCTTTCAATTAAAAGTTGCCTGAAAAATCGGCTCGTGCGAAAGCCCTATATCATGCATTGCGTGTGTGTAGCCAACATATCCATAGCATCGAAAAGTTCTGTGTTATCGATGACACTTGCAGATGCCGGTAATTTATCTGAGATCGCTATAGATTTCAAGGCTTTTGTTGGGTTTTGATAAAACAGGTTCATGCAGTTTTGTTAAGTTCTTTTATTTAAGATTTGTAAAAAAATATGTCCGACGATGAGGATCTTCAATATGTTAAAAGGCAACGAACAATACATTATGGTTCTCTGGAAGAAGTCGAGAGAAAACGTCAAGCTGGGGCTCCTATTGCGGGTGGTAGCTCTACGGCAATTTCATCTACATCAATTTCTGGTGGGGTAACGAATCAACTTGAGGACATCGACTCTGACGAAGATTATGAGGAAGTAAAGAAACCATCGGCGTCTCTGTTGCCGCCTACTTCAGGGGCTTTGGCTAACAAGATCGATGATGACTACTTTGACTTGGAAACTGAAGTAGCCAAGGACAAGGAAGCTCTACTCAAAGAATTTGAACGTAAAAAACGTGCACGCCAAATAAACGTTTCCACAGACGATGCTGAGATAAAAGCCAATTTGCGGCAGCTTAATGAACCAATATGTTATTTTGGTGAAGGGCCAGCAGAAAGACGGCGGCGGTTAAAGGAATTATTGGCCAGCTTGGGAGAGAACGCAATAAAGCAAAAACAGACAGAAGAAGAGGAGCGAAAACAACTTCAAAAAGAACAGGAAACAACATGGTATCACGAAGGACCAGAAGCTTTGCGTATAGCAAGAATTTGGATTGCTGACTACTCATTGCCACGTGCAAAAGAACGATTAGAACATGCCCGCTCCCAATTGGATATACCAAGCGCGACTCGTGCTGGGCGTATGGTTGAACTTCAAAAGCGTTTACATTCTTTAGCACCACAGTGCAGTCAAGTGGGAGATACGCGCCCAGTTAGTGGAGTAGCTTTTAGCGAAGATTCGATGTTACTACTGACGTCGTCATGGTCAGGGTTGTGTAAAGTGTGGACAGTGCCCGATTGCAAGCTATTGTTAACACTTCGCGGCCATGCTAGCTATGTAGGAGGCGTTGCATTTCGATCAGGTGTATCACAAGAGGATGGAAATGTTGTGGCAATGGCTTCTGGAGGACATGATGGAGCAGTTAAGTTATGGGGATTTAATTCTGAGGAATCACTCGCAGATATAACGGGTCATATGCCACACCGAGTTTCTAAAGTTGGATTTCACCCGTCTGGTCGATTTCTGGCAACTGCATGCTACGATTCCTCATGGCGACTGTGGGATTTAGAACAGAAAACAGAAGTTTTGCATCAAGAAGGCCATGCTAAAGCGGTTCATAGCCTAAGCTTCCAAACAGACGGTAGTGTTATAGTAACCGGCGGATTGGATGCGTTCGGGCGTGTGTGGGACCTAAGAACAGGTATAACGAATTTAGTTTGATGTCATAGTGTATACTAGGTATGTTTCGAATATTTTCATTCGCATTCGTTTATGCGAATCATTTGCATAATTTTTTACTTTTTCATCGACATTCCACCTAGCCAAGATGGTTATAATAATTGGCTTTTGGGTTCAGACGCTAGAAGGTTGAAGAGTATAAAAAGTAACATTGGTTAACTTCCAACTAGTTCTGTTTTAAAAGCAATCTAATTTTATTATTTGGTATTAAAGCCCCTCGATGAAAACACTGTATGCTGTAATCCGAATCTTCGTAGTTACGAATTCGTAGTTCTGTTCCGATAAATCGAAAATTGGTATGCTGTAAACGTAACTTATCAACAGCACTGCCAGCTAAAAGCGCGAAATTCAAAGTTCTTAATCAGCTCCTTTGACAGAAACAAATTAAAATAAATATAATCGCAAGTGAATGGTGAAATTAAAAAGAGGATCTTAGTCGTTATTTGAAAAAGATTTGCCTTAATTAAGTAGAATACAATGGAATCGGTGGCTGGAGCACTTTTGTCTCCGGCGGAATAATTTTCTGCAGCTAACAGTTGCATTAATATACAAAAGAGATTGCTAGTAGTTCTGATCCATTTAGCTTGTGAAAAATTTCAGCGTCAACGAAGACGCATTTAAAAGCGTTTTAATGATTATGGAGGATGAGCTTGGGCGAAGTGTAAGATCATCGTCGGTAGATTGATGGTAGTTTTGAGATTTTTCTCTCCAGGAAGCTACCACCATGGTGTTGGGAAAAGATTTTGGTGTGGGGTTGGCGCAGTCCACGTTCTCTAAAACATTGACAAAAACTTAAACATACATACATACATACATACAAAGCCTCGAATTGCGACTCATGTAATATGATTTTCGACCTGATATGCTGGAAATATTTAATAATAATCAATTTTTTTTCTATTTACACTTTAACTCACATATTTTTGCGTTTACTCACTTTATTTTATTACAACTTTAAAAGAATTTGCTTCGTTTCGACGCCAGTTACTCGTCGTACAAAAATTTTCCGAAAACCTACATCGGATTCGGGCATACCAACATTACGAATTTCGAAGATGGCCTCCGAATTTCGAAATTACGATACGACAACGCGGATTTCAGCATACCAAGTTTATGATTCGTAGCAAAATCGAATCTACGACGGATTACAGCATGGGGGTGTAAACTAACATACGAAAAATTTACAGATTTTCTTCTTAAATATTTATACACTCCACTCGCCAGCGTTCTTAGTAAGCAATTGTTCATGGACGAAAATACGGAATATTTGCTATTTTCCAATGTGGAATATATGATATTCGTAACATCCCTAGTATGCACCCACGGTGGAGAGAATACAGAAGGTTGCGCTGATGGCAATGCCGCTAATCGGCTCTCAGTGAATTTCACAGAATCAGCTGTTTTGCTGACGTCACAGTCGAGATGACTGCAGTAGTGATGTGCTGAGTCAATACTTTTAAGTATCCAATACTCTCGATACTCGGTACCGAAACATTTAGGTTTCTAATAAAAGCGCACATAGGCCAAAAATATAGAAAAAACGGTTTAAGTGAGACTCGCCTATCAAATCCCGAATGTAGGAGCCAGTAGAGCTTTTAATACTGATTCAACGACAAATTCTGTAACCAGTTAGCGACAATTTTCGAATCGGTAACGGTTTTGTTGACATATGATATGAAATATTTTTACGTCAACAAGTGCTATATCGATCCGAAACTTGTCGTACCTGGTTACAGAATCTCCCCCCACTGGAGTGACAGTCCTTGGCCAAATATAAATCTGGGTCGTTCCGGTTACGTAGACCCGACTGTCGTAGGAACGGTTGTCGGTCGAACTACCTGTTCTATGCGAGTTTTCGAAATGTACAGATAATCCTTATGAGTTTCATTTCCCCTAACGGGTTCATTTTTTAACCGACTTCTAAAAATGAGGAGGTTACCAATTCGTCCGAATATTTTTATTTTTTTTTTTACGTATGTTACCGCATCACTTTCGACCACGATAACTGATTTCTATAATTATACTTTAAAAGGAAATGTGGACCTCAGAGGTGGTCCCTTATTAAATTGGTTTAGCTAATTGGGTCATTTGATCATGAAGAAGTTAACGGTACTCTTAAATTTTTATATGAGAATTGAAGTCGGTATTTTTTTAAATTAAAAATTACTTGTCACTTCGTTTCCGCGTATTTACTGAAACTGATTTTGAGAAACTTTTTCGACACTGAAATTTAAGAAATTAGACTTAGCAGCATTTCTGTCTAAACTAGCGATATTTATTGAAATATGAATGACTACACCAAAGATTTTTTAAAATATTTCAGGTCGTTGCGTAATGTTTTTAGAAGGTCATTTGGGCTCTATTTTCGGAGTAGATTTTTCGCCAAATGGATTCCACATAGCCACCGGCTCGCAAGATAATACATGTAAGATTTGGGACTTGCGACGCCGACAGCCTGTTTACACTATACCTGCGCATACAAATTTAATATCGGACGTTAAATACCAGCGGGATGGCGGAAGTTTTCTTGTTACATCTTCCTACGATTGCACTACAAAAATATGGTCAAACAAAACATGGCAACCATTAAAAACTTTATTGGGACATGATGGAAAAATAATGGCCGTAGACATTTCCCCGAATTCTCAGCATATTGTGACGGCTTCATTCGATCGTACCTTTAAGCTTTGGGCGTCGGAAAGCTGATGCCAATGAATGGCATTTTTTCGAGTTTATATGAATGCCTTATGACTCATTACACTACGTAACAGTGAAATTTATCTTTGAACTCAAAATATCGAAAGATGTGGCTGTAAACTCTAACAGGTTGTACAACCCACACAGTTAAAGTTTTAAATTCACCCTTGGAAAAGTGAAATAGGATGACATCCAAATTTAGAGACGCAAACCCGTTTTTCGCGAGTTCGACAGTGAATCGCTTACATTAATTCACCCAAATTCATAAGAATTAAAGAAGACTTTAAATGCTTTATAAATCGAACATTTGTTTGAAATTTTCACTTTATAAAACTCTTTAAGTCTGTTTTATTTTTTATGAACGAAGTCATTAAACTGATTAAAAAAGGGGGAATTTTTAGTGTATTTGAAATTTCCAGTATCCTTTTTATACTCGGTTGTTTCTAACAGCCAAAGTGAATCCAGACAGATATAGACAAATGTATATATAACGCCCACATCCCATATAACGATAATTTGGGGAATTGCGAAATCGTCGATAAATCAGTAAATACTAAAGCTAATTTAAGCAAAATTGATGTTTGCAATAATTCTTTAGCGAAAAATACGTGGGCCCCGCACACTTATGACCACATATGTGTATCTCGATAACCGTTCGATCAACTTGCAACAAACTCGGAAAGAACAATCCACATAAAAACAAAAAGTTGAAAATCATTGAAATCGGTATAAATTTACGCTCACTTTAGGTAAATTTCAAAAAAGCTTGAAACTTCGAAATTTAAGGAAGCGAATTTACTCGAAATTGATACTAACAACAATCCCTTGAAAAGAAGTAATACTTTTATGGAATTTTGAAAAATGGGCGTGTTACCTTCCACATATAACTACATAAGTTCATCTCATTATGTCTAACTGAACGTTCTATCAAAGATGTTTGAAATAGGGGTAAAACCACCCCTGCTTACCACGTAGCGGTAATTTTCGTAAAGGTGAAAAAACTATAGTGAATACTTGCACCGGGTATTTAATGCTAGGCTCAGCCCGAACTTAGACTTTTTACCTGTTTAGTACTCAGCTTCTGCTATATTGCGTTCAAATAAAATTTCGTTACGTAGTGTTATCAGTAATCATTACCAATCACTCCAAAATAACATAATTGTTTTCTTACTGTTAAATATACTAATGTTAACATGTTA